CGACAGAGATCGTTTTCATTATTTTGACAGTCAGTTATTCAGGAAGTAGTGGAACGGAATAGCTATGAGTTATCATATTTCAATGTTCACAAAGATGTATCTGAAATGAAGATACATAGATTGGGTGATCTCATGAATGTGCTCGTTTGATTTTAACACATCGGGGCCTGTAAAAGCAGCTCTGCTTCTAGAAGAGTTATCAGTTGTAGTGAGTGGAGGATGTCAGAAAATCACCTGCTAGCACTTAACTACAACGTAATCATAATGCTAGAGATAAATAAAATGATTGTCTTATATTTTTGCTAGAAACATGAGGACGTGTGGAATGATTCCATGAAAACATAATGCTTATTTTGTATTTACCGAAAAGAAAATCTAGTACTTTTATCTACTTTTCACCTTACGTCTATCATCGACGAGGGAACTAAAGATAATAGAAAGCCCGAAGTGATAACTTTCTATAACGCCACTAATTGTATGCTTAGAGTTAATGTTGTAGAAGAATTGTCAGCCTAACATAACGTTTCACGAAATAGTTCATGGCCTCTAACAATTCTTTTTGGCAATACTTAATTACACAGGGATTGTAATGGTAACCCAGTTATACCTACAAAAAAAATGAAAGGAAAACTGCTCTTAAAGGAAACGGCATATCGACTTATTGCCGAATGTGGAGAATTATGATCGCCAAATCCACGGTTGTCTAGAAAATTTCAGGTTCCCCGAAAAACACCAAATGAAAACGGGAAGGATAATAATGCAGAACCAGGAAATTGTCATAGTGTTTCAAGAAATTGCACACTATGTCCTCGAATTGTAGATACAAAGAGTTTTCACATGTGTCTAAAAGGTTACAATTTTGTTTGTCTACCTCATTGCAACACTTCACGTGAGAAACAATAATTTTGATTAGACTTAGTTTTAGAATTACTAGTTTTTGGCTGTAACTGCGTTTAGTGTATCGGCCCGCTTTGTTGTTCACTTATTCGTTCTGTGTTATTGTGTTCGGTGGATTCTGAAGTTCTGTTAGCTTAAGTTCTGTTACTTGATATTGTAATGCGTTTCTTGTATGATATTTAGATTTACTCCCAATCGTTACTATCCAGTCGTACATGCATTGTCGTCAACATAATCAATAATATTTGAATAAAGGTGCCATAAATTGACAGTTGGAACTGGATCTTCTCCTGTAGATTCTGTAATGATACATGGTTTCTATTAGCAACAATCCTTTGATTTGCCTATCCTGTTTGGTTAATTGTTAACGATTTTGGACATGCATTCATTTTACCGAGTTTCATTTGATTTAATTAGTTATCAGTTTGTAGAATGCTAATATAGACTATTTCATCTTCTTCGAAACTTAATTCATATCAGAAGTATTCTCTAAATAATTTTGTTATTCGCCATAATTCGGTGAATAAAAAAGCTTTGGATAGCTACAATAAAATAATAAGGCTAGTGACAATGATCATATTTTGGTAACTAATATCTTCAGTTCCTCAATCTTTCTAGTTAAGCCTGTACAATATTAGAGATATACATGCTCTGATTTGATTTTAACACTTTTTCATTATACTATTGTTTATTTTCAACTATACGTTTACATTTAATTTATGGTATTACATTTAAACGAAAATAAAGTTTATAACATGATTTATTAGGTATTTATTACGTATGATTTATATATCGGCGTAACCTGCTGTAAAGATATTAATACCTACACACAACTCCTATAATTAATTGAAATCTAGTTACTGCTTACTTTATTTTTAATTTTTATGATTTCATACACAACTATAAAGTAAAAAACCAATGAAGTTTTGTACAATTTCAGTTTTTTTTTATAGAGCGGATGCGGTGTCGGCACGTGGCTTTTCTGAATCGCTTAAAAACCAGATTTGTACTTCCTTCGGTTGATTGTAATTTCAATGAAGTGTGAAGGGACTATTCTTAAGACCGTACGGTTAATTATCCGAATCAGTCACCGTTCCCGTCTGCTGCGGTTTTCCCCGAAATTGGATTCTGTGAAGAGGCCGCTAGATTACGCGACACACACTTCCCCCCGCGTCAGCGGCGTGTTTCGACGAACGTGCCATGAATTTTAGACTATCTCGTTAACGAAATGCGCATCAGACTCGACGGTGATGTGCGCTTGTTGGCTACAAAAGAAAAAGAGAGGAAGACACTTTGCGCGGAATACAAGGCGAGTTTTTATCTTCGCCCATCCGCATGTTAGAAGCTCATTATAAGAGTCGTGACCTCAGGTCGTCGAGGGAAAAAGTTATATAAAACAGCTCGGGTCGCGCCACCTAGTACTCATTTCGCAAAGCACCGACACCAATTAGTACAGCAGAGGGACTCATAAGGTCCAATTAGACTAACACGAAAATGACTCTTTTTTTTCTTTCTCTTTCCACTATGAGTTCCTTAAAATACTTTTAATTTTTTTATTTTTATAAACAACTATACTATTTAAATATTTTTTGTTGTGTGTACGAATTAATTACGTCTTTCAATTAGCAAACACTTGAGACTCCGTTTTGATGATATTCTTGGGCCACTTTATTGAAGTAGTTAATGCAATATTTTTACATTATCTGTATATATTTCATCTGGATTATCTCAATAAACTTTTCCAACTCCCTCGCTTTCTTTTTTTATTTTTGCTAACGCTTTAATTTATGAAAGAAGCCTTATTATCTCCCATGCATCGTCTAAGTAGTCATAAAGGATCATAGCTAACATCCTCTATTGCCTTCGGGTTCAACTCAAAACACAGAAGAGCATATCTAACAATTCATAAAAGCTCACCTGTCTCCTCTGGGCCGTGGAAGGGTTCTTCCGTTCACACAAGTCCACGACGACGTCCCCTTGACCCCTCATCGTTGTTTTTAAAAGAAGGAGTAGATCAGCTCCCCGCGGGGTCGTGGGTTACGTCATTGCCCCTGGGGCCGTTACACTTCCCTGCGTTGGGTGTGAAAAACTCTTAAAATCCCACGATTGTGCGCCGTCGCAAAATGATGTTTATGCATGACTCATTAGTAGGGAAGAAGACGTTCTTAACTTTTTTTTAACCACTCCCACCTCAACATTTGTACCTGGTAATTGAGATCTGTCTAGACTCCAAAGAACAATTGCTTTAGATAGAAAATTTAGCAAATAAATTGACATTATCTTAATCTATGATCTTTCCTATTCAATAAAACAATAAACTAACTGTATATAGAATATATTACGTTTAAAACCGTTTCTTTGTTTCTTTTATTTATGGAAATATTAAGATAATTTTCCAACGTAAACGTTTACATTAAGCCCACAAAGATATTTCGAAACTTCGAACTCGCCTTTCATCTGGTTTTGTAACAAAGATCTTTCGGAAATTTTTATTTTCGTCTCAGAGATGAGATTTTATTTTAAACCTCATTCGGTTAATCCCTTTAATTTGTATTTAAAGGAAGCTTTATTGAAATTTCTAAGCTTATAACGTGGTGAGTATAATGTATGTTTGTACACATTTCGTGTAATCAAAGCGTGTTTACTGCTAATACATCAATCAAGATAGTTACTAAGAAACAATTGGTTGTCGATATTAATTACATAGCAAGGAAATAATATAATATTAAATGTTTCTGTTAGCTTTACTTAGCTTAACGTCGATCTCGGTTTATTAATTATGGTTTAATGGTGGTTGTCTAATTTCTTTAGTATTCTCTGAGAAAATGCTGAAATAATTAAAGTGATGAAATGCTAATGCGACCGATCTCAAGACAATTATTCCAACATTACGTATTCCCTTAAGCATTAACGCTAACAGAGCAGGTCGACGTGATAATGCACCATCAGACCAGTTAACAATTTTAATGGTTTGTTAATAAAGCGGTTGCATTGTCGTCGAGTAGTTTAATGTTTACACAAGTTCTACTGCTGTAGACGGATACCGCAAAAGATTGCAAACACTGTGGCGCGTAGAATTCGCATTCAACTACCACAGGAACCTAGTATAGGTAGTACCGCAATGAAGACGGTTTTACTAGGCCGGGTTTAGTTTATAGGGTGTAGTACGCGACTTTATAGCACATTCAGCGCGTCGAAGGCATGAAGTGAGGACGCCATGTGGTTTGGCTGTTTACCACCCACACAACCTCTCCTCTCGAAACACATACTCAGCAGAATATAGGGAAGAGGAGGAAATGAAATTAGCTTTGCACACACGGCGTATATGGTTGATAATTAATAAAGCTGTAATTATACTCGAAATTACTTGGCTTTGTTCTGTATGTTTACGCCGGGTGGTTAACATATTTTATTGCTGTACAAGATTATTTTGTAACATATTGTTATCTAATCTGCATATTTTATAAAATCTTAACTTTCATTGTGGGATTTTTTGAGTTAACTGTACTATAGTTTAATAATTGATAAGACATCCATGACAATATAATACTACATATTCAGGTTAGCATAGTATTTCCTAGTTGGTCCTAGTTAGAGCAGCTGTCTAAAAGTTTGCGTGCCGTACAGAGCAAGTTAGCGATTAATTTGCGGGAGGAGTGGAAGCACCCTGAAAATTTCGTAGTCACGGTTCCGTACAAAACGAGTACTTCGAGCAATGTTTTAGAGAGAACATTGTGTGGGGGTTTGCGTGAAAGGCGACCAAGCAAATTTTACATAAAAATATGGGACTTTAGGGAAATGCTGAGAGTTTTACTTGAACGTTGCGGTGGCCGCTCTGCTACCTTGTAACGTATGGGTGATGAATTAGTTGCAAACTAAAGATTAACCGGTCGGAACATTTTAATTAACGAACGAGAAACGACGTGATCGTTAAATTATAGGTGAAAACCAAATGGAGCGGAGTATAGATTGAAAATGAAAACTAAAAGGAAAAAGCCAATTTTAAACTGTCTCAATATTTTTATAACGTTTGCGATTTCAAACATAATCTTTTTCTTTTTAATCTCTATGTGATTCATTATTTAATGAGTTTAATTACTTACTTGAAGTGCCTTGGGTCATATTCTTTTCATCAATTGAAACTCCTCCGGAGAATTGCGAAATTGCCCCTGAAAGGATAAAACAAGTTAATTAAGTTGCATCACGATGAAAAATAATAAGGGCAAAATTATGTAATGAAGGAAACGCATTTTTTTTTAAATAAAGAACATCTTGATTATCATACTTAGTATGTAATCGATTATGTGCCAAGATCTAATCTGCTTAATATCGATCTCATAAGATAAGATCTTAAATTTTATTTATGTTATTAGTTTCTTGCCTGTATCCGGAAATGACTAATTAATAATTGTTATTTATACAGATTCTTTATAACATTATTAATTCCGTTCTATAATGTTTAGTTAAATCATTTTTTTGTGCTGATTGGTGTGTTATTGAGTGTGAAAGGAAAGTGAGAATATGATACAACAAAAATTCATACTGAATGTGGACTTGACGGTTTGTTATATAACATTGCGCGTTTTATTTATAGTGAAAATAAAATCCGCTTAATTGGAAATTGATACTTTTAGGATGTGTTACTGTTTCGGATGCAACGCAATAATCCGTACGCTAATAATTGGATTGGTTCGGAACTAAAAATGAACGTTTTGGCAAAAAGTAAACAGCAGATCCTGGATAGGTTCTAGTAACAACAAAAATTGCCAAAAAAAATTACGTATTTCTGCGTAGTTCGATTATTTAACGGCGGAATTCAAAAACTGATGATGAACGTGTTTAGCTGACACAACAAGCAAAAGCAATCCTTGTGTAAAACCGAAAATATGTTTTTGAGTTTTGACGCGATTTATACATAGATTGTCTTGCAATATAAAAGACAACAAAAGAATCAACTTAAAGCAACCTACAATTCCTCTTTTATTCTTTTTCGCCACCACACTCAAGCTTCAAAAACCTATAGATAGCCGTTTCATAAAAAGAGATTTTATATTTATAAATATTAATATCCTTTAATACCATCCATCGTAGAGAATCTGTACTATTGCAGCTTCATTACATTAACTCAATTAGGATCTGTTGTGATTTATCTCTTTTATCTATTTAGGATTAGCGACACATTTTAATGTCAAATTAATTCAAATTAAGTTATAATCAAATTAACACCTAACTACTCGTACGAGGTCAAACAGACACTACTTTATCAAGTGAATACCTGGTGTGGAGAGAGTACGTTTAAATATAGGGTTGTTGGTTAATCAAATTAAGTACACACGTGATTTACTTGTTCCGAGCGGAATTTGTGTTATATCGGACAATGGTTGCCTACACTCGTGATTAATTTTAGATTAATTACAACATCCTTTTCACATTTATTTCTGTTATCTACTTTAAAGCTGCAGATATGCTCACGCTATATTGCATTACGTTTTTTATGAATTCAAAAAACAGGTTTTTGTATTATAGTGATAATCAGTATATTCCCGTACTGAAGAAGAAAAGATAATGTTAAATCTAAAAATATTTTTCAACTTTGTGTTTCGTAAGAAATTCATAATAAAGCCACTACACATAATTTCTAGGGAAATAAGTCTTCCTGGTATATCTTCGCAAATTTTGGTACTTTAGTACCAAATACTGATTTTGACGCAATGACAGCATTTTTTGCGTGTAAATACGCAATTGAAACTTAAATATTTCGAAAGAGAATGGCATTCTTAAGATTTACATTATTGTGTTATTTTACAAATAATCTTGACACAGAAAGAACGGATTGACTGCAGACGATGTGCAATAGAACTTCTAAATAATTTGCTGAAATCGATACAGTAACAGAAAATCTTACAATAGACGTATCGGTAATGCTTAAGCAGGGAGTCAAAGGGAGTTCACATTGAAATAAAAATTTGCACCTTGTGTGAATTTAACATTGCGCGTAGTCAGTTCAGAATTTATGCTGGGCAGTACAGATTGCCTACTCCGAATCAAAGTTCATCGGAAAATGTTGTTATGTAGATAACACGATTTGTAATGCATAAAAGATATGTGATAGAAAATACGATGTGAAATAGAACATCTAAATAATTTGTTGAAATCGATATAGTAAATGAAAATTTTACAATAGACGTACCGCTGATGCTTAAGTGCACTCATTCGTCAAAGGGAGTTCACATTGAAATAAAAATTTGCACCTTGTGTGAATTTAACATTGCGCGTAGTCAGTTCAGAATTTATGCTGGGCTGTACAAATTGCCTACTCCAAGTAAAAGTGCATCGGAAAATGTTCTTATGTAGATAACACGATTTGTAATGCATAAAAGATATGTAATAGAAAATACGATGTGGAATAGAATATCTAAATGATTTGCTGAAATCGATACAGTAAAAGAAAATTTTACAATAGACGTACCGCTGATGCTTAAGTGCACTCATTCGTCAAAGGGAGTTCACATTGAAATAAAAATTTGCATCTTGTGTGAATTTAACATTGTTCGTAGTCACTTCACAATTTATGCTGGGCAGCACAAATTGCCTACTCCGAATCAAAGTTCATCGGAAAATGTTGTAATGTAGATAACACGATTTGTAATGCATAAAAGATATGTAATAGAAAATACGATGTGGAATAGAACATCTAAATAATTTGCTGAAATCGATACAGTAAAAGAAAATTTTACAATAGACGTACCGCTGATGCTTAAGTGCACTCATTCGTCAACGGGAGTTCACATTGAAATAAAAATTTGCACCTTGTGTGAATTTAACATTGCGCGTAGTCAGTTCAGAATTTATGTTGGGTAGCACAAATTGCCTACTCCGAATCTAAGTGCATCGGAAAATGTTGTTATGTACATAACATGATTTGTAAAGCATAAAAGTTATAAATGGGTGTTCTTCGACAAAACTTTTTGAAAGCTTTTAGAATAAAATATATTTAGAACAAACAATGTGACCAAACTGTAAACATATATGTATAAGGAATTAGTTCCAATAACATTAAAAAAGGATAAATAGATAGAGAAGATAAATAGATAAGAGATAAATAAAGTGCAAATCTGCAAGAGGGTTGTAATAACATGCATGTCTGTACCACAAACCACTTATCATATTGAGGCATCACATAATACATTGTAACTTCTACTATCATTTATCTTATTACCAGAACTTGAGGAGAGAGAAATTTGACTAAATTACGCAATCAAAATATATTCAATTTAACATTGTATTTCGACTAGTAATATGATCCTTCCACGTCAAACTTTTCCTCTTCTTCATCCTTTTTCTCTAGACTGTTGGTTTTGTTGTTCTTGATAAGGTCTGTTTCTAAAATATCTGCTGAGAAGTTGATTACCAGCTGACTCTTTATCTCTTTGATGGTCTGCCTGTTGGGCTGTTACACGGCGGGTTATTTGTAAGCACAATTTTCGGCAGTCTGTTATCTGGTATTCTACGGACGTGATTGTGCCAAAATCTCTTGCACTATCTTCCCCATCTGACAGTGTCCTGAAGTCCGCATTGGTCTCTGATGTTGAATGTTCAACGACTGTTCAATGTCTTCATTTCTACTACTCTTAGTCCCCTCTTGGTTTTATTTGTGTGTCGGTTATTTTACTGGCGTAAGTCATTATTAGGTTTTATATTAGGATGTAGGTTTTATATATCCGCACTTTCTTGAGTTGTTTTCACCCATGTAGTGCTGTTGAGTACCAGCTTACCACCATGCATTTAGTTTTTATAGTAGAGACAAACTTCGATGATGAACATGACTTCGCTTTCTTGATAGATCATGTGTAGTTGTCTTTGCAAGGTCATCCCCTAAGTTAGCAATTACTGCAGCATCGTCAGCGTAACATGTTATGCATATTTTCTTTTGGCCCATTTTATATCATGCGATGAAAGTTATCATATCCTCGATTGTGTCTTTTTATAAGTTGAACAAAAATCGGCTGCGACTATCGCCGTGTGGGGATGTTTTCGATTAGTTTTTCCATTATATGGTGTCAGCTGGTGCACCGCTTTGTATCACAAGTCTCAGTACGTCTCCCAATTGCATTCTCTTAAATACTTTGGAGAAATCGAGAAAGCAACAAATGCAGGTTAAACTCAATGGATTTTTTTTTTCTACCTTTTCTAAAACCTGTCTAATACCGAACAACAGGCATTTGTAATAAGGGTTTTCAGCTTATTTTTTATCATAGTCTCTGCATTGATGTATTTAGAAGAGTTATACCTCTAAAATTTTCTATACCAGTTTTTTCATCTTCTTTGAATGAAGCGATTGTTATACTGTTACGCCATTCCATTGGTATTTCTGAATGGCATAGCATTCTGTTAAATAGATAGGTAACTTTTTCTGTTAGTTCTGTTCTGTAATTTATCAATACACTCTGTCCTCTACTGTTATTAATGGTATATTTGTGTTATTTTTTCTGTGGAAAGTATTGTTATTTTATCGCTAATGTGATAAAAAAAAGCATTGTTTTTTGGAGTTATCGATAGAAATGTGTTGTTAAAACCATCCATACTCAACAATTCCGATTGTGAGATATTTTGTTGCATCATGATTTGTAAAAATCCAGTGTTAATCTATTGCGTATTCCAACAAGCTTAGTTTTGTGTATTTAATAACTGGTTCCATTACCCTAAATCCTACATTATTAGGAAACCATAAAGGTAAATTTACGAAACATGAAAATCTTATTTAATCTAATATGATACAAATGTTGCATAACAGATTACAGTTTAGAACAAAGATGGATTTAATATTTGGTGATAGTGATGTCAGAAAACACCTTCAAGTATAAAATTTGACAACGAGGTAGAAAGCGGAAAACAGAGTCTGTAAGTTTATTTGTTTATTTTGAGGCGGGGAGGATGAAGATGCCCTACACTTTATTCGATTAGCACTTAGGAAAACAAATCTACTAGTACAGCGTAACCCAAGCGAAGGGTCTCTTGACAGAAACTTAATCGGACTGATTCGAGACCTAGGTAAGGAAACCGGACACTTTAATTAACCTACTGGTGCATGCTTAGTACAGTGAGCCTCTGGGTTGCAGTACAAGGGTTTCAATCAGGTACACACGCTTCGTGTCCTACCCTATATTAC